TTAGTAATTTGTCTGTAAGTGATTTTAAGGTGGTGTAGCTGAATGTGGAAAGAAAGAGAATTTTTGAATTTCTTTATAGTTTGAAAAGTAGGGTTTTTCTTATTTAGGATTTGCAGAGTGAATACCTGGTGAAGAAGAAAAATAATGGCTGTGCTGTGGGTTTTGCTTCCGAATGTGGAAAGGATTCAGAAGAAAAAAGTGGGAAAAAAGAAACTTTATATTTTTATGAAGAAGAAAGTGGGAAAAACGAAAATTAATTTTTTTATGAACTTGTGTAAATTCTTGAACTACGAATACAATTTCTTAGAAAAGGTACGATATTTAGAGTGTTGCTGACTTCTGATATTGTCTTTAGTAATTTGTTTATGGGATTTTGTGGGTGTTGAGTATATGTTATTTATTTTAAGTTCTGGAGTTATTAATCGAGAATTTTGGTTTTTCGTATTTGAGATTTGCAGAGTGAATACCTGGGGAAATAGAAAAAATAATGGCTGTGCAGTTGGTGTTTTACTTAGGGTCTGTTCCATAATAATTATGAGAATAGATTTTTGGTTTCCACTTGTGAGTGACGAAATAAAAAATGATGATTGAAATAGTGAAATAATGATAAGAAAATTGCTTTTTGGTTTGAAAAATTATACCAAACTGAGGCTTAGTGTGGAAAGGAGATTTTTCGGAAATTCTTTTCCAATTTGGCAAGTATTTACCTGGTTTAGGGCATTTTCAATGGATGCACCAAATCGTCAAAATACATCAAATTTTGGTAAATATTGCACATAATGGTGTCCATAATATGATGTAGCAGTGCCACATGTAATTATAGACACAATTATGTAGATAATTATGTATATGTAGAACTTTCCTTGGTGCAAAACCTCTCCAATGTGGCAACAAAATCTGCACCATTCGATGCATGCAACATTATTCATTTTGCACCAAACGGTGTATGAAATCCACTAGTAAATATGATTGACTAGTATAACGGTTTGTTAAAAATCTTTCAACGTTGTTGTTTGGAATTGATATATCTTTAAATAAAGCTAATGAGAAGCATGTAGTTTCATGAGAGGATTTCTTAGTTGGTGACAATGTGTATCTATCAAATGAATCGATCGTTGGCTAGCTAAATTTAAAAAGATACTAAGTCACATATAATGGTAAGTCTAGACATGTATGTCGTAGACATAATACCATAAGCAGTTGATCTCATTGGTGTAAACTTGTGGATCCATTTATATATGTTTACCAAGGGATCAAGTATACTACACAGCGAAGGGAATGAGATTAAGCCTATCGAGTAAGATCTTTATAACGGTAACCCTACCATGTTGGCTGGAGATCCCAAGATCTTGGTTCAAAGGGACAACTAAGTTATGGGGATTCTATGAAGCACTTATGAAACTAATTTTCTAACTCATTCTTATGATACCAAAGTACTTTCTGCAGTGTGATTGGAGGTTAAGATAAACATTTAAAGATTCCTATATCTTAATTAAGTCAAGTGGAGTAGGGCAGAATACTCTTAATAGGAGATCACTCATGTAAGTGTGAAGTGGGGCCGCTTCAATGAGAATTATTCAAGGCTTGAATTTTTTAAACACTTACAGAACCAAGATGGGTTCAGGGCCAAAATAAATCAAGTCATGAGAACGATGAACGGTTTATGGGAGACATTGTGTGAATATTGTTGACTTGGTTTGTGCTAACGGCTGATGGTTTAAGACTATCGCGTTCACCAATTAGCTAATAAATCTGATGGTATTTTACTAGGGAAGGTTCAAAGCCAGAAGCTACCTTACCTGATGTACTGTTTTCCCGCTCTCTCTCTACTAGTGTCTGCATGGATATTTGCCTTAATTTTCATTCATATGGGGGATTGTTGGAATTTTTATTTATCAAAAATTGGTTGTGACCAATTTTAAATGATTATTTAAGTGGAATTCGTTATTTGGTGAATGAGAAATTAAGCTAAATGTAAATCACTAAAATACTGGAAATTATTGAAAAAATCGTACAGAATATTGTGGAATATTCTAGAAATATATAGAGGAAAAAATGTGGCTTTTCGTATGAAAGATCATGGTATGGGTATGATTAATGTCCAATAATTATAAATTCCAAAATATGTGTCTCTTGGTATGTTGTGTCTTTTGACATACCTTTCAAACTACTATATATATAGACCCCATGTGTTTGAATTTTATTCATTCAAGAAAAGTCATAGAAACCATATCATTTCATTCCAATTTACACTTTGGTTTTGTATAAAACATTTGCATCAAAGTCATGATCATGGTCACGGTCACGGTAGAGAGGGAATTTCGTTCGAGCTCGCTGGTCGAAGTCATTTGTAGTGCTCCTATGGCTCGACGTGATCGTTGTATCTTGGGAGATGATTACCGGAGAAACGTTAGCACCGATGCGGGGCAAATTCATCTTAAGGACAAAGTATCCAACACTTGTCTCGACCAAAAATCCGTCATTTTCATCTTCTTTCTTCATTTTCTAGTTCCTTTTATTATGATTTGATTTCATAAAATGATTAACATTATTTATATGTTTATCCTGCAAGGTTTAATCCAAAGATTTATTTGCTTTCGATCATGAGTTGAAAGAGAAGAATCCATATTCAGGTATTCGGATTCGATAAATTCTTGTTTTGTCTTCTCAAATCCTATCTCTGTAAGTCGAAATTGCGTTTTGATTTCACGCAAATAAACGACATGATTTTGTAAATAAAATATGCATAATATCAGTATAATTTTCCAACAACAAGAACTTACTTGATTTAGATTTTGTAAAATAAGGATAATCGGGTGATCTTTAGGGGGACATCAGTATTTTAATTATATTTTTGAAATTGTCTTATACATTGCTTTTTTTATCTCTTAAATAAACAATGTTTGAAAAGAAAGTGCCATTAGTGGCTCCTTGCTTTGTACCGAACAACAGCTGATTCAGTCCAATTAGCTAATAAATTCGATGGTATTTCACTAGGGAATGTTCAAAGCCAGATGCTACCCTTTGTCGCTACCACTTAATACATGTGTCATTCTTTTTCATCATAGTGTTTTCTCTCTCTCTCTCTCTCTCTCTCTCTCTCTCTCTCTCTCTCTCTCTCTATTTGTGTCTGCATAGACATTTGCATTAATTTTCATTCATGTAGGGAATTGTTGAATTTTTTTATTATCGAAAATTGGTTGTGAGCAATTTTAAATGATTATTTAAGTGGAATTCGTTATTTGATAAATGAGAAATTAAGCCAAATGTAAATCACTTAAATACTGGAAATTATTGAAAAAAATCGTACAGAATATTGTGGAATATTCTAGAAATATATAAATGAAAAAATGTGGCTTTTCGTATGAAACATCATGACTCTTGGTATGAGTATGATTAATGTCCAATAATTATGAATTTTAAGATATGTGTCTCTTAGTATAGCTGTGTCTTTTGACATACCTTTCAAACTACTATATATATAGACTCCATGTATTTGAATTTTATTTATTCAAGAAAAGTCATAGATACCATATCATTTCATTCCAATTTACACTTTGGTTTTGTATAAAATATTTGCATCAAAGTCATGGTCATGGTCACAGTAGAGAGGAAATTTCGTTCGAGTTCGTTGGTCGAAGTCATTTGTAGTGCTCCTATGGCTCGACGTGATCGTTGTATCTTGGGAGATGATTGCTGAAGAATCGTTAGCACCGATACGGGGCAAATTCATCTTAAGGACAAAGTGTCCAACACTTGCCTCGGTCAAAAATCCGTCATTTTCATCTTCTTTCTTCATTTTCTAGTTCCTTTTATTATGATTTGATTTCATAAAATGATTAACGTTATTTATATGTTTATCCTGTAAGGTTTGATCCAAAGAATTATTTGCTTTCGATCATGAGTTGAAAGGGAAGAATCTATATTCAGGTATTCGGATTCGATAAATTCTTATTTTGTCTTCTCAAATCCTATCTCTGTAAGTCGAAATTGCGTTTTGATTTCACGCAAATAAACGACATGATTTTGTGAATATAATATGCATAATATCTGTATAATTTCCCAACAACGAGAACTTAACTAATTTGGATTTCGTAAAATAAGGATAATCTGGTGATCTTTAGGGGGACATTAGTATTTTAATTATATTTTTGAAATTGTCTTATACATTGCTTTTTTTTTTTTTTTTTTTTTTTTTTTTATCTCTTAAATAAACAATGTTTGAGAAGAAAGTGCCATTAGTGGCTCCTTGCTTCGTGCCAAACAACAGCTGATTCAGTTCAATCTTTGAAATTTCTAATATGATCTTAAATAAATAGTGATTTTTAGCCATAATTGATCCACATTTTTAAAATTCAATTTTACTTAAATAATTCATAATCACAAAAGTAATACCACATAGTTTAGTAAGAACGATGGTTGATAAAACCGTCAATATCTTATTGATCCCGCAAAACCCAGTTCTACCCACCTCATCGGGAATAGTACATCCCGTATAAATTACAAGCAGAGTGAATCTGCTTTGCGGTCGACTCTTTGGTTCTGATATCATTCTTCGCTTAGTTATCAGTTCTCTATATATAAATCCATATGTTCTGTAACAAGCAAACAAACAGACACTCAAAGGGGAAAAAAATATTTGGAGCATCCAACAATAATTATAAGCTTAGATCTTTTTTCAGCTAAAGTTTGGTAGCCTGTTAGATAATCTTTTAAGCCGAAAAACCACGAGAAAAGACGAGAAAAATCGAAACCAATGTTCATTGATGAAAGGATGACCCTCCATTTAAAATGATTTTTATGACTAAAATCATGAACTATGAAACAAAAAGAATACGGGAATGAACAAGGTACCTCGTACAAATTTCCATGAAATTTTAACAAATTTGGAAATAATTTTGAAGAAGTTGAGAACCTTATTAAGTTTTGCACACTCCACAATAGCTTCATGGAGCAAAAGCAAAAGCAAATGACTACGGTATAATAAATAAGATTTTAAATTGACAATGTCGAACACTATACCCCATTCATTCCGCATTGCCAAGCTTGCCTTAAGTTGTAAAGCTAAGAAGCCTTTTATTGCAGTTATCACATTACCAAGCTTATTTATTGTTACCTAGTTGAATTTGTTTTTACTTGGTAATAGCATAAGAAAATGAAAAAGAAACTATAACACACTCATCCAAGCTTGAGAGACGTATATGAGTGATCAGAATCTTTGGTGTTAAGGGCATTAGTAACAGACTTCGATGATTGACCTTCCTCCCCGTCGTCCTCGACTATGTTCTCTGAATCAGAAGCTACAGTGGTTTTGTTGTCTTTCGATATCTCCACCTTGGAAAGAAAAAGAGAGAAAAATTAAGTTTTCCCTTAAATTATGCAAATAAGCACGCTGAAGTGCACATATCACATATGTGTGCACGCACACACAAGATATTCTTTTCAGTTCATACCTGCAGTTCTAGATGTTCATTCTCTTCCATGAGTTGCATTCCCTGCACATTTCATAATTTTAAGACTATATCCACGTGAAAATCTGATGATTCAACTGGCTTACATTCGATTTTGAACCATGTCATTTGTACCATATAGTAATATTTCTTCTCTCATGATCGTATTAACAAGTTTGCATACGAACCTTTTGTTTAAGTTGATTGATCTCTTTCATGATTTTCTCATCCTGTGAAAACAGCAATACTATATCAAGGCCAAATACAAGAATTCCTAGTTAAAAGTCCATAATTGAGGCATCATTAGAACATGGTACACAATTTTAAGCACTTACCTTTATCTTTCTCACATTGCTCAACTCGATTTCAAGTGATCTCTCTAACTTCTGCAACTCTTCTATACTCAATTCTTGGAGTTCCTCTCCTCTGTTGCATCTGTTATTAGCAAAAATCAAGCTGAAATTTTTTACTGGCCATATTAGAAAATGAGCTATGGAAGCACAAACCTCAGTTGATGGCTCCTCTCAACCACTTCTGTGCTTAATTTTGAGCAGTTTCTGTCCTCATCTAGCTGCATAACCATTCCCTCATTCTTTAAGGAAAAAAGGAAAATACAGATTCTATATTAAGTAGGCATGTATTCGTAAGATGACATACTACAATAATAATGTGTTTGATAAGCTATACTCGACAACATCGGACAACATTAAGAACTGTAGAGTATAATGCATATCCAGAGAGTATAACATAACTATGTTAGTGCATATTTTTTTTGCTCTATTAAATTATATGGAACTGTGAATAGACATAAGTTTATAATATTTTCCTTATAATAATGTCGAAATTTGATTAATCCACTCACCAAATATGCATAGGTGCACTAGTTATGCAGTGATATTGTACATGGAAAAGTATCTCTTTTAACTATTGAGATTCAATATTTATTTAAGAATTTAAAAAAGATAAAAACAAAATTTAGTTACCTGAAAGTCAAGAGACGGTTGTTCCAACTTTTCAATGTTCCGTTTGTGCAAATCATGCTTTTCAAGTATTTTCTTCATACTTTAGAAGACACAAAAAACGAAAGTTGTTAGGTGATTATTCATTCTACTAATCCAGTAAGTACAAAGTCAATTTTTTAACCAGATGCATAAATAGTTGATATTCATACATCGTGGACTGGAGCGTTCCATAGCCTAGAGTGCTAATGTGTGTGTGTGTGTATTAAATAAATACATGTGATCCTTTTTCTAACCACTCAAGTAATGGGTTGCAAAGTGGAGCTCAATCTTTCTCATGAGGCAGCTCTTCTTGAACTCATGGGCTAGGTCCTTGAGCCTGACCCACAAGTGAACGTTTGGTCACCAAACTGTAAATAAATGGCTGTTTGGCCCATTTTTCAATGTTATTTAAGAAAAGGGGGGTCACTTTTTCTATATTAAACCCTCCCCCATTTTTTTTCCATACAACTGTACTTTCTCAATATACAATTGTTAAAATCTCCATATTAGCTTTTTTATTATGCAATCTTGAGTTTTATTGTCTCTAAGTTTAGCCACCATTGGAGCTCCGTTCTCAATAAACTTATTTTTTCTCAAATTCATTTTCAATGACTCATTTTTCTAATAAAATAATTTTATACGTAAACCAAAGTTTTTCTTACCTCTCCACAACACATTTTTCAAAAAATTATTATTACAAAATTCTTTGTATAAAAAGTGAGGCTCAAACAATATTTGAGTTATTTCTATCCTAATATATTACAAATTTTATTATTCTACATTTTTCTTCCATGTATTGTTCTTAATGGATTACAACATATTGTTGAAAACTTGTGACTTCAACAAAACTTCGGTGCTTCCAACAGTAAGTGGTAAAAGTCATAGTAAACAGTAAATGTATTCTTTATCATAATCATTAATATATGTTTCTCATGTTATAATAGTAGGATTTCATGTTTCAGAACTTCAACGACTTTGTGTAGCATCTTCAATTGAGTCATAGATTTTATTTTTATTTATTTATTTATTTATTTTTATCTCAACTAGATAAAAGTTCTAATATTTGACGAGTATCAAAAGCAAGAGTGATGTGGGAAAACTTTTCAGAAGCTTGGCAGGGACTAAACTGAAGCAGTGGGATTAGGCATCACCTCAAGCAGAATTTGCTTATAACAGTTTGAAAAATAGAACCACGGGAATGAGCCCATTTGAGATTGTCTATGGTTGGAAATCATCCAGACTACTTGACTTAGCCCCTATCCCAAGTATAGGTCTTCTTAGTCACAAGGTCGATGAGATAGCAGAACATCTTCGGGGCAACTATGAACAGGTGAAGCTGACCATTCAGGAGAGTAATGCCAAGTACAAAGTTCAGGTAGATAACCATTGTCGTCAGGTACTTTTTGATGTTGGTGATTTCGTTTGGGCAATATTAACCCGTGATCGCTTCCCTATTGGGGAGTATAATGAGCGGAAGATTGGACCCTGTGAGGTCCTGTAGAAGATCAATGATAATGCTTATAGGCTGCACCTCCCAAGCCATTTAAAGACTTCTGATGTCTTTAATCTAAAACACCAAAGTCCTTGTTTTATGGATTTCGAAGAAGCTAATGTGAACTCGAGGGCGATTTCTTTCCAACCTGGAGTGACTGATGTAGGAGGTTTCGAGTCAAATGATGCTAAGTTGTCAAATAGCACGTTAATGGCGCTAAGATGGCAAGTGATTGCAATCTTTTCCTAATTAGGGTTGGTAATTTGACCATAATTTTGGCTATGACTATCAGAATCGCAATCATGACCCTAATTCGAAAAGTTATTTTCGATGTGGACGTCATGGTCACATAGCAGCAACCAATGGGCATCATTTTTGAGGCAAAAATTTGTTGTTTCCCCTTTCAAATTCCCTTTTTTTTTTTTTTTGGTAATATTTCGTTTATTGTTTTTGAGATGATTATGAACCCGATTTGAGCCAGATTTTTGGCAAGTTACTTCTTTTTGTTACGTAATTTATTTTGTTATGATTACTGGGATTCTGCTATTTTTGGTAAAATTTCGATAATATCGTTCTTCTTTAGCTATTGCTCGGTTTGTGGGCTATTTTTCGTCACTTTGCATTTTGAATAATATTGAGTTGAATTTAAGAGAAATCCATCTGTTGTTTGGGCATTTCATTTGGATTTCTTTTGTGAATCATCTGTAACAATTAGCCTGTAAGATAATCACTATCCTGCTCGACATTAGTTGATATCAGAGCGTCAGCATCTTATTGGGATGAGATTCCATCAGTCCAATGCTTGACGGAGGTGGTCGTGGTTGTCATGGGCAAGTTCCGATTGAAAAAGTCCCATACTACGATAGTCACATTTAGGATGTGACATTGAGGATTTACAGAGGCAGGTTGAGAAATAACACAATGTCTAGTGGAATAGGATTTTGGTAATCATGAATTGGAGGGTTACGTTTTCGATACCAATTTTGAAAACATGTATCACAATCGTGCTCGAGTCTGGGAGCACCCTGGGGGGAAGATCGCCATGGAGACCTTAGTTTCAGAGTGGATCTGCCCGAGTTTTCTAGTACATTACAGATCGAAGGATTTATTGATTGGTTGGATGGAGTAAAGTGTATTTTTGAGTTGAAGAAGGTCACAGATCATGTCAAGGTGAAATTGGTTGCCATCAAACTCAAAGGTAGAGCACACAAAAGCGACAAGGCAGCCAAAATCACTAATTGGAAAAAGATGAAATGACACTTCCTTCCTTTTGGCTACACTCAAACCATGTTTCAGCGGATCCATTCAATGAGGCAAGGCACAAGATTGGTTGATGATTGTACAGAAAAATTCTATCAATTTGTATCTCATAAAGATTTATCTAAGACAGAAGAGTAGATGGTATCACAGTATTTGGGAGGATTACGACAGCCCCTGTAAGATGTCTTCGGCCTTCACCCGCTGTGGACTATTTCTGAAGCATACCACCGTGCTCTTGTTGTGGAAAAGCAATAGAACAAGAGGCTAGTGTTCAGGGGAGAAAGTAGTTAGCTAGTTTTTCCTCAAGAATCCCGTCATGTCCATCAGCCACCGTCGGACAATTCTAACCCAAATTTTAAGTGTTTCAGATGTGGTGAACAGGGGCATAGAGTGACTAATTATGGGAAGACGGCTGGTTAGAAGAGTAAAAATCTCATGATAGAGGAAGACATCGTGGGCAAATTTGAAGAAGTTGGAGAACCTATAAATGATGCTCCTAAAGATGAAGATGTGTTGTTTGAGATGGCCATGAGACTCTAGTCATTTGCAAGAGTCAGCTGAATCCCAAGGACGGTTTAGAGGATGATTGGTTGAGGGCCAATGTTTTCTACAGGACCTGCACAGTTGTAGATAAGGTCTGGAAGATGATCATTGAAAGTGGCAGTTGTGAGAACGTAGTATTTGAAGAGGCTGTCCAGAAATAGTAACTGAAAATAGATTGTCATCACAAGCCGTATAAATTAGCGTGGCTGAATAAATGCAGTTAGGTAACAGTAGAAAAACGATGTCTAGTGTCTTTTTCGATTGGCAAGAAATATTTTGATAATGCTTAGTGTGCTGTCGCGCCTATGGATGCTTGTCATATATTGTTAGGCCGACCTTGGCAGTATGATCGTAGTGTTATTCATCATGGGTAGAAAAATACACATTCTCTTAGCATCAAATGGAAGAAAATTGTGTTGGCGCCTCGGGGGGAAGAAACCACCCTTACCCCGGTAGTCAATAATACCAACCTACTTTCTATGTCCAAGTCTTTAGTCGAGATCAAGCGTGAAGATATATCTATGCTCTGCTGCCTCATGAGAATAGTACAGAAGACAAGGGTCCAGACTTATGGCAGAGATGTAACAGCTGCTAACTAAGTTTTTTAACTTGATGCTAGCGAATCTCTCTTCGAGGTTAATGCCTACGAGGGATATTCTACATCAGATTGACCTTATTCTGGGGTCGAGTTTGCCTAATTGACCAGTATATTGACTCAGTCCTAGGGAAGCCGAAGAGTTACAGCGACAGGTAGTAGAATTATTAGAGAGGGGTTACATCCATAAGAGTATGAATCCATGTGTAGTTCCTGATCTACTAGTGCTGAAGAATGATAACTCTTGATGTATGTGTGTTGATAGAAGAGCAATCAACACGATTACAGTGAAGTACAGTTTCCAATTCCCCGCCTGGTTGATATGTTAGATCAGCTATCCGGCTCCAAAGTTTTCTAAAAAAATGACTTTAAAGGTGAAGACCACCAAATCAGAATAAGGCCTGAAGATGAGTGGAAGACGGCATTTAAAATGAAGCATAGGTTGTATGAGTGGATGGTCCTGCCTTTTCGACTATCCAATGCGCCCAGCACTTTTATAAGATTTATGTATCAGGTTTTAAGGCCTTTCATGAGGAAGTTTGTGGTAGCCTACTTGATGACATCCTTATTTATAGTTCGACATGGGCATCACATTTTGATCACCTTCGTTCTGTTTTTGATATGCTGAGGACAAAGCGCTTATTCATCAATCAGAATAAGTGTTATTTCTTCACAGCTTCTGTAACTTTTTTGGATTTTGTTATGTCTACTGATGGTGTTCATACAGATCAATAAAAAATAGAGGCGATCTTGAATTGGCTCAAGCAAAAGACTTTACACAATGTTAGAAGTTTCAATGAATTAGCGTCTTTATGTCGCCGGTTCATTAGAAATTTCAGCACTCTAATTGCCCCTATCACAGAGTGCCTTAAGGAATGTGACTATTTTTAGCCCAAATTGAGTAGTGATGTGGCGCATTATGTAGGGAGTTGTTATCTGTGTTAGCGGTCCAAAGGAGTTCTCACTAATGTTGGACTGTACATGCCTTTCCCTATACCTGAAGCCCCTTGGTTTGTTGTCAGAATGAATTTTGTTTTGGGCTTCCCTGTACCCAACGGGCGATGGATCCTATTGTTTTTGTGCTTGACAGGTTTTCCAAGATGGCCCATTTTGTAGCTTGCCGAAAAACAATGGATGCTACCCGGATCGCCCATCTTTATTTTAGCAAGAT